AATTTTATATGGAGTGGTGGAAAAATTACTATATTTTCCAGAGTCGAATGCCCTCTTTTTTATGACATTTTTAGAACCTGGAGCTAAAGTTTTCATAAGCGTCCAACCTTTTTGCACATAATGCTTGTCGTGAGTTTGACTACCCCACTCACATAATTGTCGTTATCTTTAATTCACCACACAAGTGCCATTTGTGTTTGTCATATTCAACTTTTTCAAGTAAGAATTCGAGGTTGCAGTATTCTTCTTTTACAACTATTGATTGAGCAACTAGTAAGGAAGCATATTGGTTACCGTTGTGTAGCAAGACTGCTTTTAAACATAATGTTGACGAATCAACAAATAAGCGGCAGTCATTAGCTTCGTAGGAAATATCATAATCGTTTATTGTCCATCAATATCGAAGTAGTAAGCTAAATTTTTGATATCTATGAAATATTTTCTGAATCAAACAACTCGATTACGATAGAAATTTAAAAGAGTGCTGGAGCTAGACAACTTTTCTCTATCAATCTTGATTCTAATAGTTCCGAAACTTCTTTCTTTTTATGTCCATTCATTGACCACCTATATTGAAAAATTCCGTGTATCTAGGTTTAAGTAAAATTGTTTTTTGTGACTTCTTAACAACATATTTTCCACAAACGAAACAGAAATTATACGATTATAAACATCTCTTTATCTATAGTACGAGAATCAATTATTTTACCAGAGACAAACAGCTGCTCAACTCATCTCTTCTCTTATTGGAAGTGAGAGAGCAATTGACAAACGTCAAAACCTCCTGAAGTCGATCAGCTGTCAAAGTTCAGGAGGTTTCGACGTTTAAAATTTGGAAACGCCTTGCTCTAGACCCTTACAAAAAATGCGAAACAACCATAATTAAGGAAAACACGAATTATAAATGTGTTTGATGAAATTTTTTGTCTTGTGATGCAGCATAGTATTAAATTTCAATAGTTGAAAGCCAACAAGCCCTTATTAATTGTTGAATATTCAAAAGTCAGTTGTTTTAGTATAGCATAAAATATTTAAATCGTTTTTTGATATATTATATTAAATGACCACTATATAGAAGTTTTCAATTGTAACAAATGTTGGGTGCTTTAATTTAAATCCCCAAAAATTATTATTTTGTTCGATCTTGAACTTTTATCGATTGCAGCTGAATCCACTTATTAAAACAAATTATTGGAGTCAATGAATAAACTGCAATGCTCCCAAAAAAAAAAAAAAGCTAATTTCGAGAAATGGGCCAATCATATGGCTGCGATCATGCGATATAACGCCTCAGTGCAAGTTAATTGTCTTTGCAATCACCAAACAGGAGGTCCATTTAACTTGCTGTGTGATTGGGCAAGAAGCTCATGTCGATTTTCTACATATCGATTTTTTGAAGAGTGAACAGAGGCTAATTGAGAGCCTTGCTGAGATATTTTATTCCCAAAGAACCAAGATTCTTTAGCATCAATATGTTTATGTCGACTCTGGCGATGGCGATGGATTCACTAAATGGTGCTATATAAATCCCTGCGAATCGGGTTCGAGAAGGCGCTACCCTACGAATTGAACTTCCACATATCTCCTCGGGGGGTTTGACTTCAAAACACTGGCAGAGATATTGCAAGGTTTCAAATTGTTAGCCATATTAATGAAAATTTGCAAAAGGTTCTTCCCGAGAAGTAACAACAGGAGGCAACATATAGCCGGGGTAAGCGTTAAATCCTGTACAACTCAGAACATCTGAGCTTCTGTTTAGCATGCTTCTTATATGACAACTATCATAATTCTTTCTAAAAAAATAAACCAAACTAACTTCACGATCTTACTCAACAAATGAATTAATTTAAAAGATGTATTTTGGACTAAACCTCCTTCTATTTGATTATATCTCGGTATTAAGAAAAATTTAGCAAACAAGAAACATGGAAAAGCTCTCTTGCAAAAATTATCCATATATTCGTCTAAACTCAGTAAACTGATCATAAGGATATTCATTTTCTGAAAACCTCTTCTTCTCTTCTTTTCTGGGGAGTTGACAACAACACCCCAGCCATTTCTTGTTTTCGCAATTGGCCCCAATTAGAAATACATAGCGGAGTCAAGTCCTTCTCCCCCTGGTGCTTCCAACGGAGTGGGGGTCTTCCTCTTCCTTTGCCTCCCTAAGTGGATATTGTGTCAGAGCTCGAATGTTTTCGTTCATACGTACGACATGACATGATCCAGTGCATCCGCTGTCTCTTCATTCGCTGAACTATGTCAATTTCTTCGTATATCTTATACAGCTCGTCGTTCCATCGAATGCGATATTCGCCGTGGTCAACGCGCAATCAAACCATAAATCTTTCGTAGAACCTTTCTCTCGAAAACTCGTAACGTCGACTCATCAGTTGTTGTAATCTTTTCGTGCTGTCAACAGCATCTTTAAATTCGACGAAGAGGTCTGTGTGTCGATCCTCTTTTCACGAGTCTTTTCCAAGATTTGGCGCATGGTGAATATCTGGTCAGTTGTAGATTTTCCAGGCCTAAGTCGACACTAATAAGGTCCAATCAGTTTGTTGACGATGGGCTTTAATCTTTCACACATTACGCTGGATAGGACCTTATGTTAAAGTACAGACTGTTAAAGTACAGACTGTGGGGTCTAACGTTTTTTGAATTGGGCAGAGCACAGTTAAATTCCAATCGTTCAATAAGCTTTTGTCCGACCATATTTTACGAAGAAGCTGATGCATTCTCCATATCAGTTCTTCGCCACCGTGTTTGAATAGCTCGACCAGAAATTCATCGACTCCCGCCGCTTTCTTGTTCTTCAGACGGGTAACTGCTATTCGAACTTGTTCGGGCAATGGAACGTCTGTTTCACCGTCTGTCATCGATTGGGGAATCGGGTTTGCCTTATCCTGTTGTTATGCTTTCACAGCCATTGAGCTGGCTAGAAAAGTTTTCTCTCCATAATTTTAGTATGTTCTGAGCACCGGTTACTCCTCCTCACCTCCTTGGGTCCTACCAGAATATGCTCCGGTTTTGAAACTTTCTATTAGTCCCCGAATTTCTTCGTAGAATTTTCAAGTATCACCCATGTCGGCCGGCTTGTCAAATTCTTTATACTCACGGATTTCTCTCTTTTTCTGTCTACAAATGCGTGCGATCGTAACGTTACGAGTAGGAAGTCTGTTTACTCCCGTCTGTGGTACGGCACTCCTCGTTATACCAGCTGTTCTTTTGCATTTTCTGAAAACCAGTGATTTTGTTTGCAGCTGTTCGTAGGGAGCTTGAAATGCCGTCCCACATTTCTCTTATACCGAGTTGTTGACGAGTGCTGTTAAAAAGCAGGAGTGAAAGTCGAGTAGAAAACCGTTCGGCTATCGGTTGTGATTGCAGCTTCTCGACGTCGAACCATGCTTGCGTTTGTTGCCGAACGGTTTTTGCTGCACAGAGGTTGGTGTGTATCTTTCCTGAAACAAGATAAAGAGCGAGTCGATTTTAGGACCTCGCAGTGCACGCACATCTAAAACACTGATGACGTGTCTTCCGTCTATCACAACATGATCGATCTAGTTGGTGGCTTTTCGATCCGGAGACAGCCAGGTAGCTTCATAAATTTTTCAATGCTGGAGTCCAGTACTACAAATAACTATATTTAGGGCCCCGGCGAAGTCGTTCAGCTTCAAACCATTTGGATGTTTCCTCGTGAAGGCTTTATTTATCGACTGTTTTGGCAAATATACCTTCCTTGTCCACCCTGGCGTTAAAGCCGACAAGCACGATTATGACATCGCGGCGGGGGCAGCGCTCATAGGTGCGTTCCAAGCGCTCATAGAAGGCATCTTTGGTCACATTTTTCTTTCTATTTCATCGAATCGCGGGCGCAAATCAGCGGTATGTTGAATAACTTCACTTTGATGCGGATTGTGGCTAGACGTTCATTCACCGGAGTCTATCTCCCGCCCAGAATTCTACACCGAATTTGCGCTCCTTTATATGGCCACTGTAGTAAACGCCACAAGGACCTACTCGTCTCAGTCCTTGCCCCGTCCATCGCATTTCTTGAATGGCGGTGATGACTCCATCATCCAATACCTAACGAAATTGTGCAAGAATTTTTCGCTGTGCCAAATGTGGTTTCATACCAAAAATGGAGGAATGACAAGACGTGACGTATTTTTCAGTATGTTGTTGCTAATATTTTAGATATACTTGTAAACCATACGTTCCCACATGCTAAAGGCGAAATGCCACTGAATTGTATCAAGAAAATAAAAAACAATTAACACCTAATTGAGAAAGAATAGGATAGCTAAGTGACTACCATAACCACCAGATTTTAATCCTATTAGAAGTTATGCATTCCTTTTGGAAACACCGTTTATTAGAAAAAAAAACTGTCGCGTTCTTGACAGACTTTCGGAATTTTAATATATTTTAACATTTACATTTTTTGAATGAAATTACCCCATGCACTTAGTTAAAGTAGTTTGGCAGCCGTTTCTGAAATTTCCTTTTATTTTTATGCATTATAATAGTTTACAAAATATCCACGTACTAACTTAATATTTTTCAAATGAGAACTTACTCTATTTTAGCGCACATGCTTCCGACACGAAATCTGGTGGAAAATTTTGCTCAATTGCTTTATTAAAGATTTGTTTTCTGTTCTTTAGCGCTCACAGAGCTCGCCTTTACTTATCAATATATGTATGTATGTGTAAACGTAGGGCACTTAATTAAATAATTGTTAATGTCATAAAAACGATATTTGTACTATTTACATGTAATGAATGCAAAAAATGTTAACTATATATTTGTGTAAAAATAAATATCATGTTTTTGAAACTACAATATATATATTTGTGTGAATATTTTATACATATGTAAATATTAATTAAAATTACTTCTTCTATGTTCATAATCGACCTACTAAACGTGAATAATTGTGTCACTCATTGCAATATCGTTAACTACCGAAAACAAAACCACACTCAACTATCGATCTTTAGCGAGTGTCACAACTCATCAGATAGGATAAAAGTTCGCGTCTGGGATGAAGACAATGATCTGAAATCCAAATTGCGTCAGAAGTTAACTCGAGAATCTGATGACTTTTTGGGTCAGACAATCATCGAAGTACGCACACTTTCAGGTGAAATGGATGTTTGGTATAATTTAGAAAAGCGTACGGACAAATCAGCGGTATCTGGAGCCATACGTTTACATATTTCAGTGGAAATCAAGGGAGAGGAAAAAGTCGCTCCATACCATGTACAGTACACATGTTTGCATGAAAACATTTTTCATTATTTATGCGAAGAAAATTGCGGAATGGTGAGTATACAATTACAATTCCAGATTACAATTTTTGCTTCTAATTAGCCAAGTCAACAACCGGTTTGCAATGATCTATTTGTTTACATTTTATGAGGTCTATGATCCATTTATATACATATCTATTTGCTATGAAACATCATTAGTTGAGATTCAGCTGAATGTCCCATTTGTTTATATTTTATGGGGTCAATGACGCTTTTTTTTATCATATATGCGAAATTTCAAAAAGATATATAGTGAAATGAAAAAGTATTTCATACAAGCAATTGATTTCGATCGTTCAGTTTGCATGACAGGATGACAGATCGATATCACAAAAAGTGATGGATTAGGTTTTGTCTATACAGACATACAGACGGGCTAAATCAGCTCATTATACTCATCATTTATATATATTTTATAGGGTCTGCGACATTTCCTATTTTTTTAGTTTTAAAAACTTCGTTACACACTTATCAGGTATAAACTGTTCAGTTTTTTATTTTATTGAAACATAATAAATGATGGTTTTACATTTTATTGACAATAAAACAATAAAAGCTGTAATAAACAAGCTTTTCTTTTTAAACGAAATTTAACAACTAAATATAATGATATTAGTCATTTTCTTAGATTCTTAATAGATTATGAAACGTTGCTAGTCTTCCCTAGATGTCTTTTTTGCACGTTTCGATGCTGTTTCGCAAATGACTTCCCGAACCATTTTTAAACGAAGATCACGATGCAGATCCGAATTGCGTATGTACCACTGGGCATTTACCATTTTTCGCAGAACTTGGAATCTGCTTCAATGTATAACGGGGCAGCTCATCCCCATAGTTGAATTCCATATGTCCAAATAGGTCTCAAAGTTTCATTGTGGCCTAGGAGTTTATTTGATGTGTTTAAGGGTGATTTCTTGCCGATCAAAAATTTTATTTTGTGGTATTTTAGTTTTAGTTCTAAAACTTTTTTTTTGTATATGCTCCCCCAATTTAACTTTGCATCCAACGACACGCTTCATTTACAATACGTAAGGGGATGAACGTAACACTTTTGTTAGTGATGCTTACATGGATAGACTTCCACTCGTTTAAAGTAATGTACCATGTCTGTGTCCATTCTACAAAGTGATTTAGTGAAGATTGCATTCTGTGCGACGACTCAACTTCATTTTTTCCGGTCGTAATGATGCAGGTATCATCTGCAAGTGTGGCGATTGCAGGTATCGACAATAGTGCAGTTTGGCGGCGTAGACATGTCGTTGGTAAACAAAATTTATAAGAGTGGTCCCAAGACACTTCCTTGGGGTAGACCTGTTTTTATCGGCTGTAACGTAGTATTTGATTGTCGCTGCTTAATTCTGAAGTAGCGGATGCTCAGGTAAGAGTCAACTAGGTCGGTTAGATACTGTTGACAGTGAGCTCTTAATTTATGAGGTAAGCCATGGTGCCATACTCTATCAAACGCCTGGGATACGTCAAGAAAACAGCTTTTTTCCATCGTATCTTCGATTATGCTCGTTATTCGATGAACTTGATTAATTGTGGAATGTTGAGATCGAAATTCAAATTGATGAATGAGTATAAGTCCCTTTTCTTCAATTATGTTCTGAAGTCTTTTTATAATTACAACTTCAAGTAGGTTGGACAAAATAGGCAACAGTGAGATTGGACGATATAAAGATGCTTCCTGTGCGCTTTTCCCGGGTTTTTGCACTATAATGATTTCAGATACCTTCCATGGCAATGGAACGTATCTGAGATTTAAGCAAGCGTTTATTATCGATGTAAGTTTTTCTAATGCTTTCCGCGTTAGATTTTTCAGTACTTCAGCTGTCACTAAGTCGAAGCCGGGAGCTTTTCTTGGTTTAAATCTACTTTTAATTATATTTTCCACTTCTTTAGTAGTTGCTGGTTGGATTTCTTCTACGCATTGCGATCCTTCCTGAGGTAAAGTTCYTTGGAACAGAATAGGACTAAACGTTTTAGTGAGTTTCTCTGAAAAAACGTCCGCTTTTTCTTTGTCGCTTTTGGCCCAGGATCCGTTTGGCTTTCTGAGGGGTTCATTTGACATTATTGGTTTCCTAGCATTTTTTACTGCTTTCCAAAGGGAATAATCGGATTGTTTGTTTGGCGTTAATTTCTCAATATAATTAGAAATATTTTGATTCGTGAATAGCTTTRTTTTAGTACTGAGAACCTTGGTTAAATTGTTCAGTTCTGTTTTATATTGGGGAAAGCGCGTGATTTGCCATTTTTTGCGTAGTTTTCTCTTTTTCTTTATGAGATCTAAAATGTYCGATGGATATTTAATATAAAAGTTTTTTTGTTTAGGAACAGGAGTACTTTTCCAAGCCGATTCCTGAATAGCTTTCGTAAATGTATGAACTTCATCTTGTAACATATCTTGAGTTGTTATATTTACTTCAAAATCAATATTTTTGTCGAGCATCACTTTGAAATACTCCCAATCCGTATGTCTATTAGAGAGATAAGGTGGTATGTCGATTTTTTGTAAATGACCATTTAAGATTAGATATAGTGGCGAGTGGTCCGAATTTAAATCCAATCCATTTTCCATGGTAATGAATTTCTTAGATATTTGCCGACGGGTGAAAAAGTCGATCAGGTCTGGTAGTTTTTTTGGGTCGGAATTCCAGTAGACATAAAGTCGCATCCAGTAGCCATAGCAGCTTTAAATAGCTCTCTTCCCTTCGGTTTCGTAACTCTTGAGACCCATTGGGAGTGTTTTGCGTTAAAGTTGCCACCCAAGATGAATTGTGGTGTTTTAGTATAAATTCCGTAGACAAGTTCGTTTTGATATTGTGTCTATGCTATATATCGCGGTAATTCTTACTTTTCCGAAACTAGATTTAAGCGATATGGTCGTGGTTTGGTATTCTGAGAGTTCTAGTTTTATTCATCGCATCGAGTCATGCTATACCTTTTTGGAAAGCCCATTTCACGCACTAACACGTGTTTGATTGATTGTCGTTTCTTTTAAGTCGTTCGTGAGTTATAGCGTCCCAAACATGGAGCAAAATAAAGAGAAAATATGGCATATTTTACAGTACTACTACGATACGTTATAAACCATTTGAAGCAGCTTGGAGTCATTAAGAAGCTCGATGTATGGGTGCCACACGAATTGACGCAAAAAAACATCTTTTACCGTATCGACGCATGCGAATCGCTTCTGAATCGCAACAAAATCGACCCGTTTTTGAAGGGTATGGTGACTGGCGATGAAAAGTGGGTCACTTACGATAACGTAAGGCGCAAACGGTCGTGGTCGAAAAACGGTGAAGCGGCCAGACTGTGGCCAAGCCTGAATTGACGGCCAGGAAGTTTCTTCTGTGTGTTTGGTGGGATTGGAAGGGAATAAGCCACTATGAGCTGCTCCCCTATGGCGAAACGCACAATTCGGACCGGTACTGCCAACAACTGGACCGCTTGAAGGCAGCACTCATGCAGAAGAGGCCATCTTTGATCAACAGAGGCCGAATTGTCTTCCATCAGGACAACACCAGGCCAAACACATCTTTAGTGTCGCGCCAGAAGCTCTGGGAGCTCGGATGGGAGGTTCTTTTGCATCCACCATATAGTCCGGATCTCGCTCCAAGTGATTACTACCTGTTTCTGTTCATGGCGAACGCGCTTGGTAGTCTGAAGTTGGCTACAAGAGAGTCCTGTGAAAATTGGCTCTCCGAGATTTGTGCCATTATGGAAGCGAACTTCTATGAGAGGTGCATTATGAAGGGCATCTCGTTGGGAACACGTCATCGAACGAAACGGCGCATATTTGACTTAAATCGCATTATTGTAACCAATTTTATGAACAATTGGAAATTCAATAAAAAATACCGCAAGACTTTTTTATTATATTAATTTCTTCGTAGTGGGGAATATTATCTCTGATAATTATGTCGACGTCTTGAAGTTTTTGAATTTAACGAAAGTTTCATTAGTAAAATGTGTTTCTGATATAAGACAAATATCAATTTAGAGGCATTAACCTATAATTCTTTTCTTCGTTCGAGCAAGCCATTTGCGTTCCAGGTCATAATTTTTATCGGTTTCATTTGTGCGCTTTACTGTCGCTCTAGTTGAGTAAGACGTTCGCGGGTATTTACCTTGCTTTTCTAGCTTATTAAGCTTGTCGAGAATGAACGAGAAATTATTGGTAATATCACTAATGGAATTTGAATTTGAATGGTTTGCAGACGTATGTTGTTGAATTTGACTAGTACCTTTGCTAATGCTGGCACGTGAGAGTTTTCCAGATTGCCGACTTACATTACTAACTTACTTCTGAGGAGCAGTAGAAGCGGTTGTACTTAAGCGTTTTGGTTGTTGGTTATGCTCTTTATTTCTGTTCAGTGTGTAAAAGTAAAATTAAATATAAAGGATCATAATTTACGGCAACGGTACTATTTTAAACCTTTAATTTTAACCATAGCGGCACATATGTAAATAAAACTTACCATTTCAACTTGATATTTTAAAATACTTAGGTTAAACTACCACAACAGAAGGGGGATGATGCATGGAAGCTTTATTTTGACGAAATTCCCGAGGAGATTGTTGACGAGTTTGCTATGCGATATGGCATTGAAAATATATACCAAGCAATGACTCACTTTCACTGCCTGTCTACCAAATATTTATGCCCTGGGGTTCCGGCTGTAATGAGTACGTTATTAGCAAACATCAACGCATATTATGCGCATACAACAGCATCGTCAGCCGTATCGGCAAGTGATCGTTTTGCCGCTAGTAACTTTGGTGTAAGTATAGACAATAGAGGGATTCTCGTGCAAGATAACAAAAAGTAAAATACAGGCTAACCACCTTAATGTATTCAAGAAAAACCATATTCTATAAAGTGAATACTTTGCTTTCACTCAATATCATAACATAGTGGACGTGTGCTTCTCTAATAGATTTTTAATGATCTATGATGAAATTGTACATATTTTTGACTCTTACAGAAAGAAAAATTCGTAAAATTATTAGATCAACTGCACAATTCACTACGAATTGATCTCTCTATGTACCGCAACAATTTCCCAGCGACTAGTCAAGAAAAACTAATGGACCTCAAATCAACCGTAGATTTGTTGACCAGTATCACATTCTTTCGTATGAAGGTATTTTTTTATTTGATTGTTTTTTGTACGAACCGTAAATGTTTGACCATTCATTTCAGGTTCAAGAACTCTCTAGTCCACCACGAGCGAGTACAGTTGTCAAGGATTGCGTGAAGGCTTGTCTTAGATCCACCTATCAATTCCTGTTCGAAAATTGTTATGAACTTTATAATAGGGAGTTTCAGGTAATTATTTATATTACAAGAGATATCGTAGCCAACTATCAAATTTATTACTGGTTTCAAGGTGGATCCAAACGAAGCAAAACGTGACTCTGACGACCACGGCCCTAAATTAGATAACGTTGACTTCTGGCATAAGCTAATCGCCTTAATTGTGTCCGTGATCGACGAAGATAAAAACAGTTATGGTACCGTACTGAACCAGTTTCCACAGGAATTGAATATTGGGCAGGTAAGCCGCTTACAGTAGTAATTGGATGTTTCTGATAATATTGTACGTAATTTGTAATTGCTAAATCGGAAATTAAAGTTTCGTATTGAATCTGCTAATCAGAATTATAAACTTATAAAATATTGAATATGATGGGTCTGCGCGAATTCTAGTTGAAAATAGTACAACATAAACTACGCAAGCCCGAAAAATGTTAAAAACATTTAAATTTTAATTATAAATTTGGGAATAACATTTTTTTTCAATCCGGGTTTCGGGGTAAGAAATAATTTTTAATAAAAGTTTAGGATTTAAAAAAGATAATAATAATAATTTTTGACTTAATAAATAATGATTAGAGACTAAAGCAACTTACTTACTTTTTATAGCAACATATTACTAGTCATGAATCATGAGTAGTAGCTTTTGAAAAATATCACTCAATTATAAAACAATGTTAAAAAGTTATTGTCCGCGTACAACGATTTTTATATAACAAATGTCACACCTTGAAGGCGCTGTTTGTGCAAAGTTTTGTTCCGATATTTTTATTGCTGTTTGATTTATGTATATATCTTAAAGTATAAGCTGGGCACAATAGACCTATGGCCGCGGTGCATTTCTCATTTATTAAGGTATAAGCTCAATATATAATTCAAAATTGTTTTATATGGAAAGTAAAGTTCGAAAGGTGTTATTATCCTGACATTTGTGCTCCAAATTTCATTGAAATCTGTGGAGTAGCTCTTGAGATAAAGAGCTTAACCTAAAGGTAAGGTAAGGAGGTAAGGAGTAAGAGTCCAAAATAATAAAATAGTTTAAAATATCAGAAGTGGTGCTATTGTACCCAAAATGTCGACAAGTGAGGATTTCCTTAGTTTATACACCGTCGAGCAACTAAAATCATGGTTGTGTTTGCTCGGGCATAAAACAGCAGGTAATAAAGCCGAACTAATTGTTCGCCTACAACAAATTCCTGATGAGCTTCGTGGAAATTTTCGAAATTCGACGGTTGACGCTGGCGCAGACGTTGACGTTAACGCTACAATTACCCAAGCCACCATTCCTGACGAAATCAACGAAGGAATGAACAAAACAAACATTACCGACGAGTGTGGTGAATTTAACAATGGTGTTGTACCACAAATCGACGCAAAGAGCGATGCAAGCGAGTGGCGTCTTTTAAAAATCGAACTAGAATTGTTGAAGCGTGAATGTGAATTACAGAAGATGAAAATTAACTTCTAAAGAGAGAAAAAGTACAGCTGAAAAAAAGTGATTAAACAAAAAACACTTGTAATGAGCGATAGTTCGCACATGGAAAAGAGCTTATTTCGGACTTTTCTGGTAATAATGAACATGTAAAATTATGGCAAGCACATCTAAAAAATAATTCAGAGTGCTAACAAACTTGATGATATCAACATGTAAAACACCGTACTCGCGTCCACTCGTTATAATTGACAGTCAAACAATTTAAAATATAGAACTTTATTAAAATATATGAAAATATGACACTTTATGCAAATTTATAAACGCTTTCAAATATTGCGTACTCGTTATTTTACGTTGTTCACTCACTGATGGTTGCTTTTTGACTGTGCCCTTTTGGTTGCTGCCACTTGCTTCGTTTTATCTGACACTTGTTGGGCAACAGAGTTGCCATCGTTTACAAACATAATAGCACTAATTGCAAATAAATTTAAAAAAAGAAAATAAAACTCTAAAGCCATATTATCAAATTCTCGAGGTGATTTGAGTGCAATACCTAGTGACAAGTTTTTAATGGAAATGGGATCTCTCTTTGCAGAAAAACAAGCAATTTGATGCTAAAGCAAAAGTTTGAAACAAAGCTTGGTTGGCTACCGAATCGTTTCGAAAATATTTCTATGAAAAGTTGATTCTGGCAAATAAAATTCTAATTGGAGAAGATGAACTGGTTGAATATCTAATTGAGGGTATTCCGCAGAACCCTTTACGTTCGCAAGTTAAATGCAACGATTTCATCACAAACATGAATTGTTAGAACCATTTCGAAATATTCAATTGCCCCGGTATATACCAAAGAAAATGTCAGCAAATAATCAACATGTGCAGTCTAGTAATGGACAACGGGCAGCGGCAGTCGTGAGATGCTACAATTGTAACTCCGACATTTAGCAAATGTATGCCGAAAACCCAAACGAGAGCTTGGTGATTGCCATGCATGCACAGAAATTGGCCATTTTGCAGCAAATTGTTCTCAAAGGAAGAGGCTCTGTACAACATGTTACTGAATTTACGGAAGGCGATAATTTTGTAAAGTTTTTAAATTATTTATTCTAAATTTATTTATAAAAGTTTATTACGATCGTTAATTAATACGATAAGCTCCATTAGTTTTGTGAACAGTTCGTACCAGATGCAGAAATAAACAGAAAAAACCATGTATTCTTAAAATATAGTGATATAAACAAAAGCCCATTATCTATTGTCGGAAATGTAAACAGTTTTATTTTATTCAAAACTTGGTCAAAACACGTCGAGTGATCCATTTTGCAAAACGCCGATTTTGAAAATTAGCAGTTCATTAGGAAGGGATAAATCGATGTGCTAATGCTTTTCTTGCGGTGCAGATGTCGGGGGCTTAGGAGCGCTTTGCTCAACGTTTTAAGAGCGGTAGGGGGACAAAAAATTCAATATCTTTGGAACGGTATGTATGAGCAAAAATTTTTTGCAGATTATTAAATTTGAATATTTTCCGCGTTGTGCCACATACATTTCATCGTTTTTTTTTTAGCGTGAAGAACACGTGTAAAGTTGCAATTCTTTAAAAAAAAGTGTATGTAAAATGTTATTATTTAAACAAGTGGATCGTGAAAACATATTTATAATGGAGCATGAACATTTTTCTTTAACTTCACAAAATTTCATCAATTTATCTATAGTAGTTTATAAGAAAATACTTGGACCCCTTGACGTGGTCAAATAAAATAAAATGAGTGTATATGCAAAACAAAAATTTGTACAAATATTCCTAGTTTATATGTGTTGTAAGTGCCCCGATACTCCAAAAATTATCTGTGAGATGAAACTGTTAAGTACAGAAAACCTTTTAACTATCCTCCGAGAAGACTGAAAAACAACAAGTTAGAGTTGTTTTAGATGACTTAATGCAAAACAAGATAATTAGACCGAGGAAATCCGAGTATTCTTCCCCCATTGTTTGCGTAAGGAAAAAGAAAAGTGATATAAGGCTATGTGTGGATTTAAGATAAGATAAGATACGCTAATTAGGATATAACATTTCGAGTAAACGGACTCGACCGGATAAAAAGAATGTAGAAGCTATAGTGAACTTTCCTATACCCAGCAACACAAAAGCTGTACATAGTTTTTTGGGCTTATGCTGATACTTTGATTCGTTAAGGAGAAGCTCAGCCTCTATAAAAACTAATAAAAATGTAAAATT